CTTCGTGGAACCGGCTAAAAGCAGGCCAAAGCGGTGCTCCTGTATGTAACATGGCCAGAGGAAGTAACGCATCCAGAGGCATCGAGCGCAATTCATGTCTGGTTGGCAGGCTATTACTTGCGACTTCCTCATGAAGTTTGTCGAAGCAGGAAGCAGCAACACGTGTGCCATCGACCAATCAGGTAGCCACGCCATCGGACCTCTGGACCCGAGAAGCAATGCACGGCTGCGCCTGCCGTTCCTATTTGCCACCCTCCACAGCATTCCTGCAGAATAGCCTCGGAGACTGATGCAGGGTGCCAGTGACTGCACAATGGGGTGTGCATTGTCACCGAAGTGGCTGCGTTCTTCGAAGGATGATCCAGGTTGCAATGAAGAAAAAGAAATGATTTTGCGAGGCACGTCATGTTCTATCACAGATAGTAAACGCGCAGTTTACCTTAGCAATCTTGGTGGCTTTGCTGGTACGCATGCCTACACACTGAAGCACTTATACACTTTCATAAGTGCCCTGTGAGGCTGCCTACAAGTAAAGAGTCTTGCAATCTTTTCCCTAGAGCTTACTGGATACTCCTCTTTTCGAACGAAACTTTCTTACAGTGTCTAGTTGCACAAGCAGAAGGGAATGCGAAGCCGAGGCTGCGACGTCGTCGGCTCCAAGCCCGCTCAACTAGACACTGTTGGCGTCGTATGGTCCCCTCTTTCGACGCGAACGGACCCGCAGCGCGCTATATAGGCCTGGAGATCATGCATAAGTGACATATCCGATGGAATGCTCAGGTTGCGCACTTCGACCTCTATACTTTTGATGCGAACGTAGATATGTCGAAATTACTACACCACATTCTTAATATCGCTGGAACAACTGCTGGTCATATCACGCTCAACCCTCTAGTCACGGCTGCTCTGCTCTGGGTGTTGACGAAAGGACCTACACAACTTCGCAGCCAACTTACAACTCGGATCCGCGCACTTCGGGACCCGTTTCGCTATGCACAGCTCGTGAAGGCTCTGAAATGGTGCCTGATAGCTGGAACAGCAAGAGTCGTCAACAAACAGCTTAACCATGTTGCCCTGAACGCAGGCAGATTGCGGAGTGAAAAGGCGAGATGGAACTGGAGCCGAGAGGTCGCAGTCATTACAGGAGGCTGCAGTGGTATTGGAGAGCTGGTAGTGAAGAGGTTGATCAATAAAGGAATCAGAGTGGCAGTGCTAGACATTCAGCAGCTTCCTCCAAGTTTGCAAGGCTGTAAGACAGATCAATACCCACTACGCTGAATAGCCTGATACTAACGAGGTCGACAGATGCCGGCCTCAAATTCTTCAAATGCGACATCACTGACTCTTCCGAAGTCTACTCGGTGGCCGAGAAAGTCAAGGAAACGATGGGGGCACCTACAATCCTCATCAACAACGCAGGCCTTCTGGCATCCCATACCATCCTCACCACATCCGACGCGTACCTCCGAAAGATCTTCGACGTAAACGTCCTCAGCAACTGGTACACCACCAAGGCTTTCCTGCCAGACATGCTCCGGCATAACAAGGGCCATGTCGTGACGATCGCAAGTACTGCAAGCTTCATAGGCGTCGCTGGCCTGGCAGATTATGCAGCGACGAAGGCGGCTATTCTGAGCTTCCACGAAGGTAACTTCCTTGTCCCATCTCTTACTTGCAGCATGCTGACCCGCGATAGCGCTCAACCAGGAGCTCAAGCACCACTACAACAGCCCGAACGTGCTCACTACTTCCATACACCCTAATTGGGTCCGCACACCTTTGATAGAACCTGTGGAGCAGGAACTCAAGAGGCGAGGATCTCCCATCCTTGAGCCGACTGCTGTTGCCGATGCAATCGTAGGACAAATCATGAGCTGCAGCGGTGGCCAGATCATCTTACCAAGCGCTGCGGACAAGGTCAGCATGCTGAGAGGATTGCCGAATTGGGTACAGGAGAGTTTCCGAAGTGGCGTGAGCAAGACCATCTACAATACCGTGAAATAAGTTTAATGGAATCCTGAGTGCGAGAATTCGCAACTTTAGCGTGTTGTGCTAGGAAGTACCACACCCATCACACACTGCATGCGGCCCCGGGAAGAAATGTGCTGGCCTCGGCGGCACTCATGCAGCGAAACGCTTTGTGTGGTGGTACGAACATGACTTGCCGGTGCGAACCAACCCTTTACAGTAGGTTTGGGGGAAAAGCGTAGAAAACTGCATGCACTGTGCCGTGCCCTACGCATAAGGTGTGTGTGGGCTTTGCCGTGGTGCAGGTGTGCCGGTGCCATTCACATCGCTAGCGTATCGGTGAGTCGCGTCGAAAGCGCCGAGGAACGCGTCGCGTCTCACTCAATCGACCACTTTACTACAACGACACACAACATTGCGCATTCCACGATAGCCACAGGAACATACAATCGCAAACATGGCACAACCACAAGAAGATGTTCAGATGGACACCCAAGACATTGAGCTGGAAACACCACCTTCAGATGTCTTCATGGCACCCTCAATATCCAAATCAGGCATTCTTGGCGGGAAGTCATATTCGCACTTCTCGCCCATACCCAAACAGATTGCAGACGACATGTCTGGAGAAGTCGTGCTAGGTGTCGATGAGGCTGGACGAGGTCCTGTCTTAGGTACTAGTCCCCTGTGAAAGTCTTTCTTCATCACTAACACATGCAGGCCCGATGGTGTACGCCCTCTTTTACTTACCGATTGAACTCCACCATTCCCTTCTCGCCGGAACGCACCACTTTGACGATTCCAAAGTCCTTACTCCCGAAGTCCGCTCGAGTCTGATGCGCAAACTATGCACACCAGGCTCAGATCTCTACGAAGCTGGCGGATGGGCAACACGCGTAATGTCTGCACAAGACATCTCAGCGCACATGCTGTCCCCGAATGTATACAACCTCAATGCGCAAGCCATGGATGCGACAATCGACCTGATCAAGGGGGTGCTGGCACAGGGCGTCAATGTCAAGGAGATCTACATCGACACGATTGGCAGACCAGAAATCTATCAGAAGAAACTAGAGAGGATCTGGCCTACGATACGGATCACAGTCGCGAAGAAGGCTGACAGCCTATACCCAGTCGTCAGTGCAGCATCAGTATGCGCCAAAGTCACCCGTGACGCGGCCCTAGATGTTTGCTACGAGCCCTACCAGAAGCGCAACACAGCGGCGAACGAAGATGCCGAAGTCAAGGTGGCTTGGGGCTCTGGGTACCCATCGGACGCGCGGACAACGACCTGGCTGAAGCAGAACATGGACCCTTTCTTTGGCTGGGGGAGTGAGACGCGCTTTTCGTGGGGAACTGCGAAAGAGCTGCTGGAAGGGAAGAAAGCAGATGTCGCTATTGACTGGCCTGCTGAAGATGACGGCAACGACATGCGTATGACAGACTTCTTCAGCGGCAAGAATGACGGCGGTGGTGACGAACTGGTCGACTGGTTTGGGAAGCGTGTCACCCAGGAGATGGACGTATTTTGAACGCTTCATTTACAGAGACTCGCACCACGAGAACCGCTGAGATAAGAAAACATGCAGGGCACAATGATCGGGCGCATTTATCGGTCCGTTCCAGACCCGCACAGGGCGTCAATATTGCAAGCAGGGTCTACCAACCGGTCAGCCCTACAGAAGCAACGTCATGCCCCGACCATGGGTTTGACTCGGTTGACGTACCCGCGCGCGAGTAAATATATCATCCAGGCAACACAGGCAACCTTTGAAGGCTTCATCTTCCCCATGAACCGGATAAAAGACATGATAAATTATACTAAAGCCGTTTTAACGAAAAAGGTCGGCTTCGCAGTTGAACAAATTTTTGTTTTTCGGTATTCAAAGTTTGGAGTGCGTGCGTGTCGGTAATTGACTGTACCAACGGTTGTACATACAGTGCACCAACCATGGGCGAAAGCCCGCGCTTCACAACAACAACCGTGCTCCAACCATGTCATTATATAGAAAACTCGAGTCACCGCCTCTGCACCGCCTTCTTGGACTCCCTGTACCTGTCAGCCCCAAACGCATACTTTACACCAGACACTGAAGACGTAAACATTTTTGGCGCAATCACTTGACGCTTCGTCTACCTAATCTTATCAGGCGCAACCTATCTTTACAACAGAAAACACTACAGTTCTCAAAATGCACAACGGCGACCTCGTTTATCAGACCCTTTCCCGAGAACTTAGCGGGTCCAGGCCGAATGGACGAAGAGGAGGAATAGCGAAGCGCGGAGAAGGCAGCCCACCCATAACACCTACCCGCCACGAGCAAGACACCGAAGCCTCGTACTTCCAGGGCGCGACATTCAACAAAGAAGATGAGGAACCCAATCTCGATGCGTACCCTCCCTCTCCACCACTGTCGCCCAAAACGACAGTACCACCAAAAGCGCCAACGAGACACCTCGCGGAACGTAAACGTGGCCATGTGCGTCATCGCACATCGTTGAAGCGCAGATCGAGCTGGAATCCGAATCTCAAGCAAGAGTTCCTACGACGGGCTTCGATCGACTCTATGATCGCTCCGTTCAAGGATACGATATGGCTTGACTCAGACCGTGGGGTCACAACTGTGCGAAGGAGGAGCAGCGCGATGACTACCGGCGCCAGATCAATATCACCTCGTAGTCATGGAGACAGACGCAAGCCGCGGAAGCAGTCGACACTGCTGCACCCATCGTCGCCGGATGTCAAGCCTGTGGCTGATATCACTCCTGTCCATGCTGCTCCCGTGTTCAGAGGGACACATGGGTGGGATGCGTCAGTCGAATTTCCGACTCTTCGACCTGCTATGCCGGCCAGGAAAGGTTCATCGCTTTTACATCCATCGCGCCCTTCTATCGACACTGTTGAACATAGGGAGCTGAAGACTGTCTTCTCTTTGCCGCCAAACCGTCTATGGGAAGATGACCGGCGCCGCTGAAACCCTCGTTCACTGGAGCTTCAGTTTTGTGAACCAGCAGCGGCCATGCTTTTCATGATGTCGTCCCTGTCATGTGAACGTCAGTTGAACGAAGTAGCGGTGGTAATCCGGTCAATGTACCTAGGTACAAAGTCACTACTAGTGCCACACCAACGTTCATCCGGATTAGTGTCCCCCGCATTTATTCAACATTTATGCTTCAGTCGCCACTGCCGTCTATAAGTCGGCTGGTGTTCTGTTCTCAATCCACAAAACTTCCATCGCACTACATCCGCTCCCAACGATAGTGTATCACCAAAGGGCGAGACCATGACACCGCGAAACACAAACTTACCTTCGCGCCGCGACTTTCTCAGGGACAACCTCGTCGTCCACGATAATTGCGCTATCTGTACAGAGCCATTTGATACGGAACATCAAGCAGCATCCATCAAGACAACAAACTGCCAACACACATTTGGAATAGAATGTCTCACCCAATGGATAGAATCCGACCAGGACAACCACAACACCTGTCCCATCTGCAGAGAACAACTATTCTCTAAAATCGACAAGCCCGAATTTGTCGAAGGAGCACGAGACATAGTCGGCCCACATTACACAATGGCCCACCAGATCCAGACCTGGAGACCGGCCAAGACATTCGTCAAGAACATGTGGCGTGCCATGTACAGGCTCTACGAACGAGATCAGGTCATTTACGACTCTGACATTGAAGAGCACATCAACGCTAGGATTGTTCCTGGTTTCTATATATTCAGTGACCATTGGCCTGGAATCAGGGAAGAAGCTCAGAGGATGGTGCGAGAACACTATAGGAATGGGAGCTATGTTCCGCTCATAGGAATGCAGCTTAGGTTCTACTTGTACAACGTCGAGAGCGTGTTGGAATGGCAGATTGGAGACGAAGAATCGGAACATGAGGTGTCAGGTGATGAACCATCAGATGATGAGGCGTCAGATGTTGAAGATGACGACGATGATATGTCGATGGCGGATTCGACGGAGTAAAATGTCTAGGAAGCTTTCGGTCAGCTCTGTCACCTGCTTTGCGCGCTCTGTACCAAAGTCGAGCGCTCTTTCTTATTTGCGAGTCGGAGACGCCCGATAACTGTAGTCGTACATGCGGCGTTACCATTTCCATTCTTTTCTGTATCAAAGCCTCACGATAGTGTACCGTACGGTTCCCGCCGCTTCTTAGCAATTTGGCGCTGCGCAAAGCCATCTGCGCGCTCTTACCGCATTGGGCCAATTTCACACTCACCACGAAACCCATACCGCGGCTTCACCGCTAGTGACGTTCTGTTGCCAAGATATTCCGGATACAAACAACGCCTGCCTTTTGCCAACCTGACTACTTACACCTTCCGGATCCGCCAGCACCAAGACCATGGGCACGCCATTGAAGGATCGCGAGACTTTCCTCAGTCAGGGCATCGAGAACAATATGACGTGCTTCATCTGCGACCGTTTCCTCACAGGTGAAGACCGCACACGACCTTCTTACTGCTTTCGGATCGCTGATGAGTTTTTCACAGACCAAGATACAACCAGCCGCATACTCACCACCTTGCACAACTGTCATGGAGTCTACTGCGGGCCGTGTCTCGTTGAACACTTGAAATACAACAATACTTGTCCGGTCCACACGCATGTGATCCTCTTCGAGCTCCCTCGCCGGCCTGAGTTCGTATCTGGAGAGCGCAGTGTCCCCGATACCATCGACGGGATCACAGACGAAATCGAAGCTGAAAAATTCGTCAGCAAGTTAGTCTCCGCCACCAAACAACTTTACGACTACGAGCAGATTTTCGACTCCGACATCAAAGAGAAGATCAAAGAAGTTCTAGATGTCATCGCCGAATGCTTCAATCACAAGGATGGCTTGATAATCAAGGACGAGCATATGGCTGGTGTCATGGACGTCGCTAGAGAAATTGTCAAGATGCACTTCAAGAATCGGGAGTCGGCTTCTGGATTCTGGGATGAACCATTGGATGTCTGGGTACAGAGACTTGGCGCGGCAGTAGGATGGAAATATCCGATCGTACATTATAACAACTGGTAGTACATACTCTACTATCGGACATCAGCTGTCTTCGACACCGGAAACAGCGAGCGAGGATGACACAATGATGCGTTGAAGAGAAGCTGGTTATGCGGTTGAGCTACTGTCTACCGATCCTTGAATGGCTGTCGCAGATAGGCTATACGATCGAGCTTTCAATCGTAGCTTCCAAGTGTATACAGAAGACAGGCATGAAAGTTCTAGTCTCATCTCAACTTCCCAGTCAAACTGTGATAGCATAGTACCAATGTATTGTCGATAAGAACTCCCGATAACCTAAACTTCTACTGCCATTTTTATCAGCGTGCTCAAAATCCACATCAATCACCCAAATCTAACAGTCTCTTCTCAAGCGCCCGTCTTACTTGCGCCTCGAGTTCGCCTCAAACACCTTCCACTCCTCGACCGACTCCAGCAGTCTCTCCTTGCTCCAGCCTCTTTCCAACCCCAATTTGTATGCGGCGCATGCGCTTTGGTAGATGTTGAGATCGTCGATCTTTAGGAGCTCACTGGATGCCGAGCGCTTGACTTCCTGCTTCAGTTGGTAATTGGCAGTTGCCATGGGGAGCTGCATGGCGCTTGACATCGCCTCGGCGATGCTTTCTCCGAATCCTTTCGCATGGCCGATATTCGCATCGGTTGGTGTTCTGGATGATATGAGCTCGCCGTCATCTTTGGCTTTGTTGCTGACTGCTCTTAGTGGGTTTGTGAAGCCCAAGTCTTGCAGCGTCTGACGAGGTTAGTCGCTGTAATAGTGCAAGTGTGCAGTTGGACGTCGCTCACTTGGTTTGTCTCTTTCGCTGTTGCTGGCTCGCGGTATGGGAGGTTCTTGTTCGGGGTCATGATGGTCCGGCGCAGTTTTTGAGTGATTGCCTGTGGTTGTGGTACTGGCTTAGGCAAGTGATTGTATGGCGTGGATGATATAGGAAGCGAGAAGTGGCTGCCCACGATTACTGAAAACACCTGAGACTTCCCGGTTGTTCACCGAGTGATTGCAGGAGCGGTGTACTCAGGTCTCTCTTACCTTCTTCACCAACCGCTCTGTGAACAGCGCAGGCTAGGAATAATACAACTTCCATGCACTCCGAACAAAGGCGACACTTCGATCGTCTGCAATTGCAGTGATGTTGTGCGCATTGAGGTTTATAATAGTGACTTCGCAAAGAGTGGCTGGTACATTTTGTAGAAGCATACCACAATGTAAAGAGATGCCATGAATGAATTGATAGTAACCATCGCAGTGAGTAACCAGAACTTACTTCACAGCTCGATAGTTCGCGGCGAAACATGCGAGGTCGTGAAGCAGAACACGTAAGACAGCCAAAGGATAACTCATTTGCAGCAACTTCATTGCGCAGCAGAATAATGAGCTCAAGTATGAATCACGACTCCCGCGTACATTCTACCTTTGTTGTTCAGGAGGCTCTTGGTGTTAGTGTTCCGCCAAACCTCAAAAAAGTTCCATCTCCACCTCCACCCCAGCTTCTCCCACCAATACCACAACACCGCGACGGCGTCTAGAACAGCAAAAAGAATGCATCGGCCGGGAATCGAACCCGGGGCTAGCCGAAACTGTCCTGTGAAGGATGGCAACGGCTAATTTTACCACTAAACCACCGATGCGAAAAGATGGATGCTAAGACAGCTGGAGCTGTGAATGTGACCTAACCAGGGGTCGCAGCGGGGTTGTCAGCTTTGCGATTCGAATAGGGGGCTTCTGAGAGCTACTTACAACCTGGAATCTCTTGATATCGAACGAAGTCGTAGTCAAGCGCCTTGCCATTGGGCCATTAGGCCAGTTGTTGCTTAGTAATGATGGAAAGCTGTCGTTTATGATCGTATATATTGACATCCAGCAACAGATAACGAGGATTGAAGTTTGCTGGTATGCAAGAGGTGGTTTGGTGGGGCAGTGTTGCGGCAAACTTTTCTCTAGTGAGGGGACTTGGTGGTGGGGCATGTCAACTGACCCTGTCAGGAACACCATTTTTATTACCTGAGCACGTCTGCAACTGTCTCTATCTGCGTAGTCTAGTTAGCATACAGATTTGGCAACATGCTTCGGATGCCTTTTGTGTTCCTCGATGAACCCCGTGTCGGTCCATTGTTAGAGCTGGTACCTACGACTACGCCGGAATCGACCGAGCTCCAGACTCTGATCCAGCAAGGCGAAGTATCTTCGACGTGGGCCATGAATGATTCCAAAACACTCCCATGGTTTGGTAACCATTCTGTTTAGTCCCATGAACAAACCCTGAGCATTCCTTTGCCCTTTCGTCGGCATGCCAATCGAATAAGAGGCTTATTGTGAGAAATCCAACGCCGAAGGAACGAGGAGTTGTAGTATTCATTTTCTCTTCATGTCTGCAGTCCTTCCAGGCTTCTCACCATTCTTCAAGAACGTTCGCGTTTACGACGCTTCATTCATACTTTTGAGGAAATGCGTGAAGCGGCGCGTCGAGATCCAAACTCTTACCGACATTTCACGTCTCCAAAGTAAATCTGTCTAACCTCTCAGACACCGTGCGAGCGAGATGCGACCGTGCCGATTCTGTAAGGCGGGGAGAGCGACTAGTTGAATCCTATCGATGGCACCGGGCACTATTCGAATCAAGCTGCCCGCGTCGTGCAGCTCGCACTGGCTTTCGATAGCAGGAGCGCGCTTAGGTCTCTGCGGAAGGCATGTGCACTCGGTGCTTTTCGCTGTCGTAAGGTACCCTAAGGCTATCCATTTGGGGCAAGAAGAGCGGTCGTATCCATGTTGTGGTATCTGAATATCCAACAGCTCCAAGGGCTTGGTATGTAGTGGAAGTGAGCTTCTCAGTCGCGCGCGTTACCCCGTGAGGTAGATTTGTATGCGACTCCAATCACACCGAATCCACAAAATCGACGTCATTAAACCCCATACTCTAGCACTGCCACCACCACGATAACATGTTCAAGCGCTTTCTGTCTCTTATCCGCAGGTCTTCAGGGCAGCTGCGCCAAGCCGGCAGTCATCCGGCGCGGCGTGCTGCTTGCCTTATTCTTCAACCACGGATCTCTGCCTGTTCGCTTCTAGTGTACGATAAACAATGAACATGGGGTACGGCGCAGTAGTCGCTGCCAGGTATACTGCTTCCAATCATCCTAGTCCTGACCACTTTAGGCGGGCAACTATGGCTCTTATGCAGCATAGCCAACTACTCCGGAGTATATCATGGCTAACATGTCCTCTATATAGTATGGTCACGTTGCTTACTTTGATACGTTCTTTTCCGCAGCTACGACCTCTAGCCAAATACGATGGCTACTTCAAATTTCCTACCCGCCTATCTACTCATAGCAATCACTCTCTTACAGTCCTGTTTCGCCCAGCTCAACGATAACACACCATGGTGTCCTATTACAACGCCTACGTACAACTCCTCTGGTCAGACCGGGTTTCAGATGACATCCAAGGAAGACTGGTATATATCGCTTGCCGTGAACGACCGCCGGGAGTTCAGTCACAGTTCGACTACTGCTTATATCAGCCATCCAGAGTTGACAAGCGTGACTATGGGTTGCTTCCATCGGTTCAAAGCCATCAATGCTTCAGCGACGGGAACAGGCGAGAACGGTTGCGAAGGTGTGCTGAGTGCTGAGTGCATGGACGTATTGCGCGAAATCTCTTTTCCACCTGTGACTTCCGGGGTCTCCATGGACGACATGGAATGTGAGGACATCGACAACGATCGGATTAGAGATGCTTGTCCCAGCGAAATACTGGCCCCGTTGATTGTGAAGAGTGAGTGTTTGCATCTTGCCTTCTGACAGCGCTGATTGCTAATAGAACAACGCAGCCCCAGTTCTCGGCTTCTCGAACGAGACGTGTGATGATAAACCACCACCAGGAGAACATATTCCCGAGCGATACCACACAAGGCTCATGGATACTTATTCAATCAAATATGATCAACGGGACCGTGACGCCGGTAGCTTCGAATCGTATGACGTTTCCGTCAAGCGGCCTGTGCCATCCGTGTTCGCGGCTTACCTTGCCGACGGCACGACAGAGACACACGTCGTATGCGTCACACCCGACCATGTGGCTGAGGGTAGCCGAGAACCCGAGGAAGAAGAGCCATGGGATCTTCTGGAGAGCACCGGTGCGCGCAGGTCCTGGGTGATAGCTGGGCAGGTGGCAACGGTAGTCGCAATCGCAGTAGTCGTCGCAGGGTACTGAGATGAAAGGCTGATGTTCAGTAGACTAAGGAACAATGGACAAGTGCGAAGAACAACATTAGCGTTAGCCCGTCAAATGCTTCACCGAAGCTCATACAAACAACCGGTCTATATGATTTTGACCAGACAGCGTGCACATCGCTCCGGCTCTGTACATGCGGCGACTGACTTCCGGAATTCGTGCAACCAGCGTGTTTCTCCACAGTCACACCATCGAGGCCTTTTCGCATCAAAATAGAAACCCCTCAAAGGCTTTTTAGGTGTAGGGCGAAGATCGAGCGCCTGTGCGGTAGATGGGAGTTTGATGCGTCTCTCGAAAGGCTCAGTGATCCTCGTTTGTAACTAGTCGCAGCGCTCGAGGCCCCTCGGAGGGGTTGACGGGACTGTGTGTTGATGGTCTGCGGGACCGGAAGGAGACATTTGGGTCGGGTTGCGGCAGACGCTGTGCTGTGCGCATGCGCCAGTGTAGGAATGATGGATAGCTTCAGGGCGTCACTTGTCTGCGCCAGTTGTTGGGTCGAGTTAGCGTGCCAAGGCCGGCTCGTGGAGATTTCCTTCCCCGCCGCCAGCTCCTAACAAAGCGTAAGCCACCATCCTCGATGCCACTGGAGCGACACCTTCGCTACCATTCTAACCACCTCCAATGCCCCCTCAACTCTATGAATCCATCGCACACCAACGCGTCAATGCTTTTTCTAGGATCGCGTTTCATCATGTCCACCAGATCTGAAGTGAGATGCTCCGCCGATGCCTAGGTAGCCAGTGAACCACGAGTCTATCCCGTTGAAGACATCGGTGTTGTATGCGCCTCCTCGCGTGGCTCAGTGTGACCTCCGCAGTCCAGCCCGTCTCAGACGTTCCATCGATGGTACCTCGTGCTTGCAAGGTCTCCTGCATCTCGCATATCGTTGTGGCGCTGGAATTCGCAATACCCGTTCGTCAATCTGAAGATCACGAGCAAAAGCAACGCGACGATCCACCACTCGCATGCAGGAGAGAATGCGCCATTCTCCACCCATCCACACGAACCCATCTCTCAAATACATCCTTGGAGGGCATTAGACTTCGAAGTTCGTTTTTTCTGTTTGTTCTTTTGGGGCTGTACTGCAATGCTGCATTGCTACTGCTTCGATTCCAAGCCACAATCTTCACTACTGCTGTTTCGGGCTGCATGGTGTGGAGACAGAGGCGCATCTACTCTCCCACGATGATGCAATCTCCCATCGGAACGAGATCTCGTCTTCAGAAGACTTATATGTTACCTGTGGTGCTTGGTGCGAACTTGGTAGCGCACGCTGGTATGCGGGAGGGGACGCCCACCGTATTGACCCTGAGGAAGACCCTCCAGAGCCCTGAACTGGCCCCTGGCAAAGAGGGTCAACCTTGAGAAAAGCAGTCGTGTCCTGGAGCCTTCCGAAGCGGTACCTGATAATCCCGTCCCCAGGCGCCCGATAGCATTACTAGAGCGACCGGGCTGTACCATGGGATGCACTAAAAGCCCTGCAGTGGAGGACTAATCCAAAGGCGCAACGGGAAAACAAAACACCCCGCTCGCGTACCTTGCAGACTATGACAACTCGATTGGCTCCCCACTGTGCATGCGCAGCTTTGCTATCTCTATAGCGACGTCGGCGAGGAGCCGTGAACCACGCGCCTGTGTCTGCGGTGGTACCCCGGGCTGAAACGCCATGTCCAATTCGTCGTACAAGACGCTCTCCTCTAAACATCCCGTGCCCCTCTATTCCTCTCGACCACAGTCCTTTCTTCCTGCCATACAGTCGTTTCACCCGTGTACTTCTCATCAGACATTCAATCGTTTCAATCACCTCACCTTCGCCTGGTCGACAACTCTGCATGAATACACGGAGCAAACAGGACACTGCTACCGTCAGCTCACGCAATGGGTGTCGATGCCAGCGCAGTCCCAACAACAGAAACTCCGCTGCCCTGGCTAGTCCACGACAAGGGGCCCCTTCATCTTGCCATTGTCGTTACGCTGGTCTTGACCGCGCTGTTGGTTTACTCGCTCAGAGCCTTCACTCGTGGAAAGCTCCTTCGCTCCTTCGGCATCGATGATGGACTAATGGTTCTGGCCGCTGTAAGTTCAGTGCAGTTTAATTGCATGGCTCATATTCGCTGACATAGAATAGTTATGCACAATAGGGATCTTTATCACGTTCACTGGAGTCGTAGAGCTCGGTCTGGGACAGCAGCAAGACGACTATGTCTTACCCGCCAGCAAGACCGTCCAAATGGGCCCGTGGATGTGGGCGTTGAACTCATTCATCATTTTTGGGCTTGGTCTCGTGAAGCTGTCGGCTGCTTTCACTCTCTTACCTCATACGAGTGCTAGACGCCAGTCTTATCTACAAATGGGACGCACATTCCTTCTCATCTGTCTCATCCGTAAGTCTAAATCTACCTAGCTTTCAGGAGCAAAAGCTAACGGACTTAGTACTCGTGTTCTGGCACACGATTGAATGGTTCACATCGCTTCTCGCTCAGTGTGTACCGCTCGTAGCGGCTTGGGATCTCTCGCGCGATAATACGGCATTATGTATGTCGCAAAGCGAGTCCGAGATCTGGGCCATGGCGAATTACTGTAAGCACAACACTCTTGGCTCCAACAAACAGATCTGACCCATTCGTCTAGCGATCAACACAGCGTCCAACGTGCTGATGGTCGTCTTTGTTTTACCCATCGCCGTCGGTACTCCTTCCAATCTTGGAGCCAAGCTACACATCCTCGCAGTTTTATTATTGGGTCTCTTGTACGTTCTCATAGTTCACAAAGGTGCCCCTGAAGTATTGGCCGCTAACACATCTGCAGTGTATGCGCTGTAGCCATCATCAGAACCCGAACGGTCTACACCTCTTGGGGTCACGTTGGCCATCGCAACAACTTCGACTTGAATTTCACTACCTGGGGCATGATCGAATTCCTAGCTGCCATGATAGCCGTCAACCTCAGTACTTTGGTGCCTCTTGGTAGAGCAATCCGTGATCCTCTCGATACACCCCGCAAAGCCTCGCGTGTGGCCGCCATCTCTGGCCCCATAGCCGGCAGCACTGTTCACCTCATTCACGGCGATGTCGACGATCTCGTTCCCAGCTACTCCGAGTCTTACGAACCGGATATGGATGACTCCTACAACTCCTACAACTCCTACAACTCCCGCTATTCTGGCCAAACAGTTATCTACCGTCCTGACACAGCATACTTCCCCTCTCACGGCCATAATAACAACAGCCTAACACGCTTTCACGACGACGAATCTAACCTTGACTTCGATATTGAAGCACCCTCAACCCGATCCAGCCCCCGTAGGGTCACAAAACCAGGACCATCTTCGCGCTTCTCTGTATCTACCGTCAGCACGCGTAGAGTGAGCGACTGGTCACAACTCAGCGACTTCACATACTCCCCACCCAAAGACTCCGATGCCGATTTCGAAAAAGCGATGAGCGGTAGAGCTAGGATCAGCGCGGCAGAGCTCGAAGAGATTGTGAAGAGCTTAGGGTTGAAGAGGCAAAGTAGCCACGAAATCTGGGATAAAGAGATCGGTCTCTTTGAAGAGAAGAGTGAAGACGGAGGGAGTTCCGTCGCGCCCACAATATACCTGGAAGACGACGAGGACGCCGTTGACAGTGCGGGAGTCCTATGCACATGTCCAGCACCACGTGTCAGGAACGGCGATGCAGGTGAATCTGCGCTACAAAGCGAAGCAGACTCGAGCGAGATCACCGTGATCCGCATACGTGGGACAGCTAAGTGCAGTCTCCACAAACCCCTACCGCGCATACGCTCCCGCGAGTGGCTCGCGCGCGGATAAACAGGCTACAACAGCTCATATTTCCTTTTTTTTTAACAGCGGTCTTTCCTTGCACACAACATTTCGTCGCAAACCGCAGTGCCATATTTCGGCCGGAGTCATATACCATCATTAGAAAGTTTCTTTTCAGAACATCTCATGTATTACTAGCAAGATGAGATGCAAAGATGCATCTCACTTAGCATTACCTACTCAGTAGCTACCAGAGTTCATAGTCATAATTTCTTTATCTCAATCCGAATCAATCTTGAGTTCATACTACGAATGAGTGCACTTCTACTCAGCCCATCGCTTCTTGACATACTGTGCTTGGTGGCCACCAGGCAACTCATTAACCCACGCATCAATCTCTTCTTTAACAACACGCGGAACAGTGCATTTGTTCATTGCAGCAGCATCCTGTGTCTTTAGCGTGGGACAGTTCTGGTAACAAGGCGAGTCAAGAGCGCGTTGAAGTGCGTCGCCTTGCCAGCCGAAGAGGTAATCGCCATGGTTCGCGTAGCCCGTGCTGCCAGAAACCCTTAGCAATCACACCAGCTAGTATAAGAGTCCTTGACTTACCCATCGCCGAAACTCCAGACGAATGGTTGACTGCCATCTTCCGGCCAATCAGCCTTGTTGTTAAACTTGCTCGTGTCCCAGATGACTTCGTAGAAGAGCTGACCCATGCGCACGGGGTGGCTGGCGGGGCAGGGGCCGCCGGACTCGAAAGACCCGAATTCTGGGTAGGACATGTGTGCCATGTGGTCTGGAGAGTCCAAGTTGACACCGTCCCAGCAGCTAGGGCATGTTAGTAGACTGGCATGCTGCATTCGTGAAAGGGGATGGGGGAGGAAGACGTACGTGGGAAAGCGAACAGCAGTCATGATGCCCGTCTTACACGGCTGGGTGGGGAAGTCGAGAGTCTGCGGGTCACGCGTGTTGATGGTGTCCAAGCATGTAAATGTTAGCTGACGGAAGCGTTCCGCTTCGTCTTTGGTGCGCGCGTTGACGTCGCCGATGAACATGCGGAAGCCGGGTTGGAAAGCCTGCACCCTGGAAGTCTGTTGAAAGTTGTAGAGGCCGTCTTGCATGTAATACACTGTCATGCCTCCGTTTACGCCGTTGAAGCCTGAGTTGGGGATCTGGGGAACGCGTTTGTATGTACCGTTTCTGGCTTTGAAGTATAGAACGGCTGTCCAGTAGTTCTGCAGAACCATTAGCAATGTCGTTCAGTCGACAGGTGGTTGGTTCAACATACGGAGAAGTCCTCGCTGAACTGGCACGAAGTGCATGTTGACTCTCCCGGCATGTCCTTCTCTGGCTCCATGGTGACATTGAAGGAATTACCTCCAAGGATTTGATGTAAATGCGGCGAGGGAGCCTGGCCTGGTGTGACCAGAGGGTCTAGCCTGTCAATGACTAGCTGAGCGCATGGGAAGCGCAGAAGCGCCGTGGCGGGTGCAACAAGTGCAAGGGCGGCAGCACTGAAAACCTTCATTCTTCAAGGCTGGTGATTTCCTGCTTGAAAAGAGAAGATGGAGGCGGTAAGAGGTAAGCTCGATGCTCAGTATTTTATACAACAGTGTGGAATATGCATGCGATAACGCCGGGATCAAGGGTGGTAATGCCGAGCAGGTACGCCGTGTCGCAAAGGCAAAACTCGGTCTTGGACAAGATAGCGATGGGCAGCATCTTACGCTGGATGAAAGCTAATGCGCTTTGGGGCTCGAAAGATGAATTTGGATGCACGATGTCGTCGCATGAGTGGGTAGCCTCCACATCAACGCTCCTGGATTACATTGTCGAACGCTCCTCATCCACTTAAATTAACATGACCTATCGTTTCGGGCGCTCATGGCATCCAAAGTGCTGCTGATCGAGTTGCAGATACTTCATCGTCGGCTTGGCCAATTAGCACGATCTCATGATGATGCTGAGCTGGACGTCTTCGGTTGGCGACGGCACCGCTGTGATTGGCAAAGGTATTCCTCGAGCCCGAGTGAGTCCAGTGATGCTACTCTTCGATATTCCACAAGTATTTGGAAGTCTTGTCATGCCGTCGGCAGTTGCATGCAAGTGAGCGGCGGAACGTATAACGCCCCACCTGTACAGCGAGAACTCCGGTTACCAAAGAACTGTGAGTGGTTGATCCGCTTCTCGGATAGGATGATATTCGCGGACGTTGGGACAAGGTTGCGTGAGCCTCAATCTATTCTACTTTGCCGTCGCGCCAAGTTGTGGGGTACCAATCCTTACCATTTGTTTATATTGTCCAACCCCCGTTCCTCATCAACGCGTGCCATTCGTACGGATACGCTGGCATGGTACAAAAGAATTCCGCGTTTGTCATTGGCCGATCATAAGGTGCCCAGCTGAATAGCGACGGAGGCCAAAGGGTTGTAGTCACGTGCTGATCGGATTGTTGAAGCGTGCAGTGAGCCGAGAGAATAGGCTGTTGAAGAGAGTGGGATCTGATCGCAAGGAACGAGCCCTTATCAACCGGGTACGATCCCATGGAAGCAATATAGTCCATGTGGTGCTGTCAGGTATAGACTCCAGAATCTCAAATATCCTTCTGGAACAACAACCACTTCCGCTCTTCAAACCCAGAAGCTTTTGCATCTCTTCTCATTGGACGTCTTGTCGCACGGCATTTCTTCTCTTTACTGGTTACATCGAAGTCAACCATGAAAACCAGTACTATTCTCGCATGCTGGGTGTCAGCTGCATCTGCCGCCTTCGACTTGAATCGTGGGGGTGCAGTACTCAAAGCGCCTCAAGGCGACTCGTTTGCCAGCGTAACAGGCACTGTGAGTGACTCTCGTGCTGCATGTGATATGAGTACTAACTGCACATATAGTTCACAGTACCGAACTTATCGGGTAGCAACCGACTCTCGATCTGGGTCGGCATTGGGGACACACTTGAACAGGAGAACGTACTCGGTGGTGGCATCGTGTACAACAGTACGCTCAGAAGCTTCTCTGCATACTTCCCCGGTCCGGTGACAGATACCACTTCGACGGTTCCTGTTGCCAACGGTAATTCTATCACCGTGACAGTCAGCGTGGCTACTGCAGGGGGTACTGTGACGATTGAGAACAAGACGCAGAACAAGAGGACAACACAAACACTCGCAGCTCCGAATGGCGTGGATCCGTCCTCTCTAACTGCGCTGGCGGCAAACTGGTTCGTGCAGGCATACCAGGTGATCCCAGGCCAGCTTGTAGCTACACCGAATTTCGGAACAGTATCGTTTACTGCAGTTTCGGCAACTACTAAGAGCGGCGCGAGTGTCCCGCTCTCCGGCGCAGGTCGATATGAGATACAAGGAACCAGTGGACAGGTTAGTTGTACATGGCGTACCACCCGACCCTACTAATATCTGATTAGATGTACTCGAAGACAACAGTATCGAACACTGGTATTTCTGTGCAGAGACAGGCGTAGAAAGAAGGTTGCGATAGTGTTGCTCGTGTTCGGAACACGATTTGGGAAGTCGCTGCCTGGTCGTAGTTAATCGAGAATAGATAAGCTGGGGCTATTTCGCTGTTTCGTTGAAATTTTATATATGAAAAACGCGTGCAATAAGACAGATTGAATGCGCGACGATGACCGGGAGAGTTGGTGAAGGCTACTGGTGATGATCTGGTGAGTAACGCGCAGGCGATGACGTTCGCTTGGCCTCCCCTCCACATTTCTCGACGCGTCGCGACTTCCCACCTGCAGTCGTGCGACAACACCGGCAAGATGCGCTTCAAGGCGTCGATACAAAACATTAATACCTTTACGAGTAGGTGCATAAGCCGACACTTCAATCTGCGACTAACCCCTTATAGAGCTTACGGCGTCGCTCAATTCGCTCGGCCCGCTCGCGTGGGTGAAGCTCAGCGAGGAGCAAGTATGCTTCACCATCATACCAGAGCAGGGCACTCAAGTATGGGCGTGAGTAGACGCCTCGTACCTTGGTGTCTCTCGTTCTAACTGCATGCAGTGTCCTCTCTATTGTAAGCCTTCTGTCTCATCTTTCGCTGGCAGGATGTTAATGCGCCGCGCAGGACTCCATCTTTGAGACCATCAGCGTGCAGTCAGCAGCGAACAACGTCATCAACCTTGAAGTTCCGCTCACGTCATTGAATCGCGCTCTCAAGTCAGCCCTCAATGCCACGTCGGCCCAAATACGCCTCACCAAGAAGGACAACCTGCCCATGCTTGCCCTCACCATCGTCACCACGACCTCCTCGAACACGTACAGCGCCTTCCCTGCAGCCACAGCCAACAACGACGATGGCTTCGACGCTGCCTTTGACAATGAGTTCGGTGGAGGAAACCGCGAGACCATTGTCACGCAGGAGATACCCGTGCGGGTGCTTGCGCCAGACACTGTAGCGCATCTGCATGAGCCCGTCTGTAGAGAGCCAGACGTACACATCATACTGCCTCCTCTGATGCAGCTGAAGAGCATCAGCGACAGGTTCACCAAGCTCGCGCTGGCAGACACCAAGGCAAGCACCGCGACGACGGCATCAAGGACACGACTAGAGGTTGCCGCCAATATGCACGGCTGCCTGAGGATGAGGATCCGATCCGACGCCATGAACATATCCTCCATCTGGACCGATCTTAGCAATCCAGAACTCGACCCTGGCCACGTCGCTGGTGGAGAGGATGGCGTAGCTGAACACCCAAGCACGCGTATGAAGCAGCTGGGCACGGCGGACGGGCGTAGTGAAGAAGGCTGGGCTACAGTGAGGATCGATGGGCGTGACTGGGGTAAGGTCATGAGTGTGGGTAGGCTGGGGGGACGAGTTATCGCTTGTAAGCCGTGCGAACTTCAAATCTTCCAACATGCTGACATTCTCAAGGCTTCTGTCATGAGCATGCACTCATCCTCTACGTTTACCTACCCAACGACAATGGCGATGACGAGTCGGTCCTGACAGTACGTTGCACTCTTCACACCCTCGCTCACCAGACTGACAATACCGCAGTACTTTATCAGCTCCTACAGCGCATAGCTACCTTCGCGCTCATGTCATCCTCACGAGGCACAAACTAGATACCTTTGCTTACGCGACACCGCATACCTCATCACCACCATCCATCGTACCAGACATATGATCTTGTGGTGGCGTACGCTACACGTTGACACTTCGACGTGCGAGCCAGATTGACCACAACTCTCGACTGTCTCCAGAAATGCGCATAATATGTTGTGCTACTCGTGTACGGGCTACAATTGGAGATGGAAGCGTCGGCAAAACTAGCACTCTATTAGCCGAAGGCAGCAGAAGGATGCCTAAACACCAAACCGCTTGCACCACGCCGAGACAAAGTCTCATGCTTTGAGTTGGCTTCTCACGATAAGTATAAAGTCGGTTAATCCTCTCAATCAGGCGTCCGCTTCATAGTTCCCCAAAACACAACATGGATGAATGGAAAGGAGCCCTTTTCAATTTCACCTTCACCGCCTCTTTGCCTTCCCACCCATCTGACTTAAGCGACGTTTCTGCAGTCAATACCGACAGCTCGTGCATCATCACAAATCTTGCGACTGAAATCGTTCATCATATCATCGACTACATACCTCCCGCATCTCAGATCGACTTCGCATATACCTGCAAGCATTTATTCGCATGCTCTGCAGACGTTCTCAAACGCCATCGCGACGCTCATACAAATTATTGTGTCTCGTCTGATATTGACCCAACAACTGTTCCCACACTCCTCCGAAGCGCTTTCGGATATGGTGACCCAATCCCAGCCTGGCACGTTCGAAGTCTGGAGGTTTGGTATGATCGCACAGGATGGGATGCATGGAAGACGCTTGACTTCGATGTTCCGATCGATCAGAGCTCACGGTCGCCAACAACCTGGGAGTTCATACCTGGTGAAATCGACGACTATATGGAGCCATTAGATCAAGCACAGAGTGATCTTATCCCCGGTGCACGCGCTGAGGAGGCACGTACACAGATTATCGATGGCTATGACATTTACCTGAAGGCTCTCCTCGTTGCAAATTGTCCTAGGCTTCGAGACGTCAAGTTCGTCATGACGGCGCGCGATGGGACGGTATCGAGGTCATGTCTCGACTGGCTTCAAATTCTGATCAACGACTCTCACAACAAGAATACTTCTTGGGGACCCGGCCTCCAAAATCTTCGTTCAGTCGCTGTTGGTCTGCCCACCGGAACTTGGATGGATTCGCCCTATCATCCCAATACCTGGCCTTGCAACACAGGATTTCTTGTCCAGTTCCTCCGCCTCCCAAGCCTCGAAAAGATATACTTTAGAAATTGCGTAGGTGATTTCCAAGACGAGACGCCGTGGAAGAATCTTCTACCTGCTAGAACCTCCCCTGTCAAACATCTCTTCTTGGACAGTTGTGGGGAATTTGGGCAAGAGTTCCTCACTGCTCTTACTGCCGTCCCATCAGGACTCATCACAGCCTCATTCCGCGCCGGCGATGCTCCTCGACTCGAAGACGCGGACGAACTCGTTCGTAATCTCGGCACCTACCAAGGGAATACCCTGGAAAGTCTGATGTTCTATGACTATCATGACAATCCCCATAATATTCACGGCTATCGCTGCGCAGCCTTCCGCCCAGAAGAACTCAGCAACATGAGGAAGTTAAAGCACCTCTGCATGGACATCCAAGACATTGAGCTCGAGGCCTTCTACCAAAGAGACGACAGCGCAGAAGATTGGGAGAGTGACGGAGCGTATCTGGAACGCTGCTTCCTGGAGAGTGTATGGAATTACGAAGCCCTAGTTCTGTGGGGATCGCTCAGCGAATCTTACATCAAATGGGAACCGAACGAGGAACAAGGCTTCGAAGATGCCATTATTTCTCTGATCGGAGGACGACCTAGAGGAAAAGATACTCCCACGAATGAGAGAAATCGCAAGTATAATATACAGTCTCTGTTCGGAGTCCCAGGGCCAGAAATCGGAGTGCCGAAAGCTGTGTATCTGGAGAACGTGGAGAAAAGCAGTGGGCCCATCACTACTTTTAGTCCTGGGCGCGGAGGAGAACCCTCGCCGAACGAAAAGAGCAAGGTCTGGTTCCGTCGCGCGATTGAAGTAGCGAGGAAGAGGGGCAGGGATCTGCATACGCTTACGAATCGCACCAAGCCGCGCCATCAGATTCAGTTCCCTGAGGCGCCTGACAAGTATGATCTCAAAACTGGTCCGTGGGGCGAGAGACCAGCAGATTGGGTTTTCAATGTGTATACGGGTCGTAGGGAGCCCAAAGGCTGTGGCAAATGTGGGAACTGCGATGTTTGTTTTGGGTATTACAGCAAGGAAATGTGGGATGGGCTGGAGAAGGAGCCGAGAAGAGTAAAGTATGATGGGAAAGATGAGAACCAGACCAACGATCAGGATCGAATGAGAAATTGAGAAAATGGTGCGAGAGAAAGGCACACGAAATGGAGGACGCAAATACGTTCATGCCTAGTACAAGAAAGAGGATATGGTGCACTTGGGAAATATGAGTGTCACGTTGAACAATACACTGGCACAGATTTGGACAGTACAATCACATTCAGAGAATATGTGTATTCATCACCTCAAACCATCATCCACCATCTACTTCCCCGCATTATCAACATGCTCCCTAAGCTCCTTCTCATTGTCCTTTGCCAGCACACCCCCATTCGATTGCGTAGCGACAACCGAGCTTCTCCTCCTCTCCGCCTCATGCGCCTGCTCCGTATCCGCGTAGTCCACAAGCAGCTCACCCTTCTTGCCATAGCGATGCGGCAAGTTATGCGCAATACCAACGACATCAAATGGACCGCTTGCCGCGTGGAAGATCTCATCCATCTCCTCGAGAGAGCGGTATGCGGTTTCCGGGAAGAAGAAATATACCGAGGGTACCATTGCGGCGTTGATAACGGCGAAGATGATGTAGGTCTGGTAGCCAATATTTGCGAAGGCAGGGGGCGTAATCATTACGACTAGGAAGTTGAAGATCCAGTTGGCTGTGGTGGAGATGGCGTTGGCGGGCGCGCGGATGGATAGTGGTGTTATCTCTGCGGGATACAGCCATGTCATGCCTAGCCAGCCGATGGCAAAGAAAGAGTTGAATACGAAGAGGAAGACGGTGGCGAGGAGACCCAGGCTTGTATTGCCAATGTTGCTGGTTGCGCCTGCTAGCACGGCCATGGACATGGACATGCCAGCGGCACCGAACATCATCAAAGAGCGGCGTCCAAACTTCTCGATTGTGAAGATGGCAATCCAACTAGCCATCCAGTATTCGGTGCCGTTGCAGGCGGATAGAAGGCGACTGAGGAAGGGCGAGAGACCGATGGAGTTCTCGAAGATGGTCGCCGCGTAGTAAGTTACCAAGTTGATTCCCGAGATCTGGAGTATTGTTAATTACTATCTCTTGTCCTGTTGGAAAAGCGAAACTTACCTGTTGGAACATCTGGTTGACATAGCCCAACACAGTGCGGTGGAAGTTGCGGTTCTTGTTCCTCTTGAAGCAATCGCGGAAGCCACCACGTGACATCTCCTCAGTAACATCCTTGACAGCTTGGAACTCGGCTTCGACCTTCTTGTCGTCCATAGGAAGGTCGCTCAACGCAGCCAAAACTTCAAGAGCCTCTTCCTCGCGACCCTTGAGCACCAACCAGCGCGGACTTTCGGGAAGACCAGGAATCATAACGAGAATGAACAGGGCCAGGATAATCTGGAATGCGATAGGGAAGCGCCAGGCGATGCTGCTGGGTTCGAGGAAGGAGAAGCCGAGATCGAGCCAGTAGCTAAGCATGACACCGAAGACAATCATTGAGCCTTCAATCATGACCATCTGCCCTCTGCGGTGTGGTTTCGAAGTCTCGGACTGCCATGTTGGGACTGTGCTTGTGTTCATGCCGTTGCCGAAACCGGTGATCCATCGTCCGATGATGAGCTGTGCGAGTCCGTACGATGCTGTTTGGAGGATGGCTCCGACTATCATGATAGCACTGCCGATGAAGATGGTCTTCTTGCGCCCGAGCATGTTGCCGAGCCAGATGGTTGCTACGGCGCCGAAGAAGCAGCCCAGTGTGTAGGCACCGACTAGACGGATATTAGCGACGTTGGGTTTAGATGCTGAGCAAGCTTACCTGTGATGGCTTGGATAGTCGCGGCATGGCTTTTCGAGCTCCCTGGGGGTGGGTTGTTGCTGTCGATTTCGGGGAAGTATTTGATGAAAGAGCCCAGCGTGAGCAAACCGCCCATTACACCCTGATCTGAGCCAATGTTAGAACTGATACCGACAGTGTTGGCATGTATGCTTACCATAACCAAAGAGCGCAAAATCCGTGCCTGCTATCACAGCAATAGCAATGTTGAGCTTAGTGCCCTTGAGGCCATAGAACTTGCCCATCTTGTTTAGTAATACCAACGATCAATGCGTGTCGTGCCAAACAACGAGGTAAGAAGGGCGTCGCAACAAAACAACAACACAAGAGGCCAGCTCGCTTCCGGTTCGTGCGAGGTGCGATCGATGAGGTACGACAGCAGGCGCGACGACGCTCTCTTAAGAAAATGTGAAAGCGCAACCGCGACTCTCTGCCACCAATGTAACAGTAGAGTCCGTCCTCACGCCGCCAACCCAGCAATAACGCCGAACCGCCCTGTCTACCGGCGTCATCCCCACAGTTTGCTCTCGACGATGACGTTTGGTCTGGAGCCGCTGGTGATCCCAACCCCGTGGAGTTTGGCGTGCGGAGAAAGACACACTACCCGATCGCACGGGGATGCCAGGGTCACCCTTCGTGATTCGTCGCAATTCACCAGTCAGCTCGCAGTCGCCCATCGGAATTACCGCAATAGGTACTCCCGGCGCATTATGATGTCGCTAACAGGGTGAAAGTTCGCGACACGGGCGCACCAAGACGGTGTTTCGCGCCGCTTTGGTGCTTGGTGGCTAAGCATCGCGAAGGCGCGAAAAGCTCCGGCCTAGTCCGATGCTTCGGCTCGTCTAAGAAATTGCTTGGGCGGCTTGCCAAAAAGCGTAGTTCCGCACGTCAGCACTTGTGGGAATAACCTGGGAAATGCCTAATAATGTCCTCGTTTCGAAAGGACGGGTGTTGTCAAACCCAAGTCTTCGGGGAGGTGTTTGGTTCTACGGTAGGTGTGCCGGTTGAAGTATCCAGCTTGCGGGATTTACGATCATCAGGGACAGGGTGCGTCAACCACGCGACAGCACCAAGTTTTCTGGTTCGGATTAAGGCTGTGGAGCCGATAGCTTGGGGGAGGCTTCTTTGTGGAGAACGCGCTGTTGGAGTTGCACTGTGGGTGTACTAAAACTTGCACGTGAGTCCTTTCGATGCTGCCCAGGTGGCCCACTGCATTCTTGGAGTAATGTTCACCGCGAGTATCCATGCGACATCTCGATCTTGTTTTAACACCCGTTGCATTTTCTATCTGATGCCGCTAGCACGGCCACCTGCATCTCTTTCACACGCGTCTAACTGGTGTGATGATGCAAGAAGTAGACGGATTCCAACGCACATGCATACGTTTTCGATTCGAAGGTGTTCAGAGTCATTCAAGGTCCATTGTTTGCCTGGAATGACTAGTTGTTATATCGATGAAGTGGTCTGGCCAATGCTTCCATTCTTAAGGCCCCCAAGCGTTACGCTCCGTCTCCATCAACTCATCGATCGGTGCTGTTAAGCTTACTGGCCGCATCACCCCGTTCATATTCGACGCTGAAATACTGCTACTGTGCGTGTCTAGATACTGATTGTAGTCAGCCCCGAATGAACTAGTGGCGACCCCCGTTGCGCCCTTCTTTGTAGGAGATGGGGCAGGTGTAGGAGTCGCAGAGACGACAGGCTTTTGCAGTCGCCTTTTCTTGTGTTCTTCTATAATCATCTGCGCTCGGCTTTTGTTCAGTTTCCAGGTAGCCAGATTTCTTGCCGGTAACACCGTCCTCTTGAACATACCTATCCCGGCGATGACAGGCTCCACAAGGCCCATGCCGACGTAAGTATCAGCCTCCCATACAGGCGCAGAATAAGATTTCAATAGCCCCTGCTTTTCGTCATCATTCTCTGTTGCATGGTAGACGGGTCGCTTCAAAGGATCAGTTGACGCTGTTACAAAGTCGCCGAAATCTTCGTCGTTTAGCTTAGTGGGCTTGGATTGGGGAGTACTTCGCCGAGGAGGAGATTCATTCGTTGGGGGCAGGTCTGTCTCTGAGATAGAAGACGGACTTATTCTGGGACCGGCAAGTGCGCAATGATCTTCCCAGGCGTTCTGGACAGATTCAGCTTCACTCGCCGCGTCCAGATTTCGCGAAACGCCCATTGAAGAATCGACTTGATTTGACGACATGGTATTTGTATGGGTTATGTGGTTGATTGATTAGAGGTTTCGATTCTTCGAAACGGGGAGGAAGCGCCTGCTTGGATGTTGTGATATTCATTCACTTTGCTGACCATTGTGAATACTAAACGTGCCGTCGCTCATGACGTTCCAGAGTGAATATATAAGGGATTGAGGCATTGTGTGAAGAGATGGTATCAAACAGAGCATCGCTGCAGCATGCGCCTCTGGCGCGACGACGAATTGCTTTTCCTGTGTCATTAAGACGTGAACTTCACATCCCATCGCTGAACGCCAATAGTGTGACAATGCTAGAGGTATCATACGCGCATGGCTTCTCTCGCCGCGGGCTCTCTCTCCATCTCGTATTCGATCTCGCGTCTCGGCCCCTTGGAGTCCTTCGATGGCTTTTTCTTGGGCTTGGGTGGTGGGCCAGCAGGGCGTTTGCGCTTGAGATTTGCCAGCGTCTTCTTGAGAGCCTCTGTGTCCTCATCTGCAGACTCATCCTCCTCATCTTCTTCGCTGCCGCTACCGCTCTCGTCATCTTCGTCGCCTGAGCCTTCGTCGGGACTCTGCCCGCCGATCCAGTCTTCAAAGTCCTCCATCTCGTCGTCGGATTCGCCCTCAATGTCGCTCACGTATTCGACTTCGCCGACACCGTTCTCCATCTCGTGTTCGTATTCGTTCTCGTCTTCCTCCTCGATACCTTCGTCCAGATCCTCGTCGCCCTTGAGCTGGCCCTCTTTCTGCAGGCCGCGCATGACACGCTTCCAGACGTTTGGTTCAACGTTGATCCTGTCTTGCAGTTAGTCTCAAACTCAAACACGAAGTGAGCAAATGCTTGACAGTGTGACGATGCTCATTAAAAAATTAGAGTGTTGTTGTTGTTTTTGATCCTCATCGAAGGATCTCAGGGTTAAAAAGCGAATAATCATGGCAGCAGTGGGGAGAGGGGGGTGCACGTACGGTCGATCACCGTATGCGCCACTACGCAGACGGTCAATGAGAACTCTCTCGATGGCGCGCTCGACCTTGGCGGCTGCGAGAGCTTTGCGCTCACGGCCTTCCTCTCG